CTCCTCTACCCTCCTCCACCCTCCATCCTCCACCCTCGCGCCAACTTATACTACGTTGGCGATTCCACCAACCCTCTCACCCCGCAATATTTCACGGTTTATTTACTTTTCGGCGGCGCGAGGAGGCCCACGCGAACGGTCACGTGCCGTGCTCTTTCACGACTTTCACGAAGAAAACGCGCGCGTCGATAAGAGGAAAGTAATGGGATACAGTAGTTGGCCGGGGAAATTTATTTGCGCCCGAACGAAGACGGGCCCTTGGGCCAACCTTTATTGAAACTTTCCCCTCCTCTGCCTCTGAGATTCCGCTACCGTGAACAAAAGCCGTGTTTTCCTACTGTATGCCTAGCCTAGTGGAGAAACGATTCTTACGTTCCTGCGATTTTCTTCCGCGGCGGACCATCGGGGACGAATCGCACGGAAGGGTGAGTTAGGGGTAAGTTGTACGTACGAGGGGTGATTTCTCGAGCGTTATTGTTGCGCTCGATGCGTGATCCCGCATGAAACGTTGAAGCGAGGGTTTCCTCTTTGCGGTTTGTCGTCCGATATTTGCTGGAATGATAATTGGAGAAGTGAGAAACATAACCTCAATGCAATTACTAAACTAAGAATTTCACTTACTATCTTTTTTTATTTCACAGGTAAAGGGAACCGGCCATTTTATACCCGGCAACGTATAATAGATAAATTTTCTTGTACGTCTACTGAAAATGGAAATGGAAATAATAGGAAGGGAAAGAGAAGCGTTAGAGTCGAAGGGTTGCAGGATTCGGGAGGAATGCGGGGATGTCGAATCGATCTTACATCTCGTCGCCCTGCGGAGAACAATTCAAGTAGGGCGTACATATGCGTTTACATAACTGTCTCCTCCGGTGGAGAAGATAGGCTTTCATCGTGGCGGGAAGAAACCGAGACGAGAGACAGACATTCGAGGGTCGAAAGCTTTTTCACGCTGATGCACATTCTACGTTAACGCACCGCAGTTAGTGTAGGCGGGCATTAAAAGCGTGCGATTAAAACTTTTCGATCGAAAAGTCCATCCATTATTTAGACAGCTTGTGACAAATAAAATTCGGGATGAATTCTCGAATCATTTTAATGCAAATGGGATTTATTGTTAGGCTTTCATTCAATGTGGGATCGATAGAGCTTTATTTCATTGTGATGATTAATCTGATAACTAATCAATAGAATTTTATTCGAAATGAAAATTTAATTTTAATTTTGTCAAGTCTATTTGGAATTAAGAAAT